ATTAAATGGGTCAAGTCAGTCAACCAGGCTTCTATGGAGTATGTATCTCCATCCATTTCATATCGCCATAAGAAACTATCTTCTCTGCCCTAACTATCTATCTGGCAACGCTGCTCGAACATACCAGTCAACACGCCATAAGCGTCGGCTAGGTTACCATAACATCCCTGCCGGCGATGCTGACAGATGCAAGGCAGGGTTCGGGGTATAAAAGTCGCCGTTGTATCGCATCGTCAATACCAGCGGCTTCAATCTCCAGGAGGCAACCGGTCTCGTCCTGCTGGACGTGGAACGAGCCTTCGACCGAGTTTGGCACGATGGACTCATCGCCAAAATGGAAGCCGCCGGAATCGATGCGAACATGTGCCAACTAATCCAGAGCTATCTAACACAAAGATGGTTCACGGTGAAGATTGGTACATGCCATTCAACAAGACGTCAGCTGGAAGCAGGCGTGCCCCAGGGGTCAGCCTTAGGCCCCCTGCTCTACAACATCTATACTTACGATGTGCCGAAGACAGCTGACACAATGCTGGCCCTATATGCAGACGACACTGCTATAGCCGCCAAGCATAGACGACCCGAGATCATCCGTAGGAGACTACAGGGTGAACTGGACCAAATTCAGGACTGGTGCGTGAAATGGAAAATCCGCATCAACGTCCAGAAGACGCAGGCAATCTTCATTCAACGAAGAAGGATTGCAAGACCTCTCGAAGCATCCATCTTCGATGAAGATATCCAGTGGAGCGACAATGTCAAATATCTGGGGATCGTTTTTGACAAGTCCCTCACCTGGAAAGCGCAAATAGAAGCTGTCATCGCAAAAACCAGAGCAGCCATGGCTCAACTCTATCCATTACTGGGTAGACACAGCCAGATGCCGCTAGCGACCAAGCTACGGCTGATCAAGGCCATCGCCAGACCTCAGCTCGCTTACGCCTCCGCGGTCTGGGGGTACGCTGCCCCCAGCTACCGCAAGCGACTTGCTGCTCTAGAGATGAAGCTACTCCGGATCGCCACCAATGCACCTTCCTACGTAAGGAACTCAACCTTGCGTAGAGACCTGCATTGGGATACCATCCACGAGTACATGAGGAAAAAAGCGGAGAAGACCTTCGAGAAAGCTCAGGACCACCCGAACGAGCAGCTACGATTCCTCATGGACTACGATCCGGACGAGAGGCCTCGCAACCGCAGAACCAGGTACCCCAGACCAAGGTCCCAGTTGGCACCCGCTAACTGGAACCTTGACTAGGAGACTAGGTGAATTTGCGGCTGCTCCCCCCCCCCCACGGCGTGGATGCAGAGGACCAGGAACCACCGGGACCAGGACCCACCGGGACGAGGACCAACCAGGACCAGGACCCGCCACGACCAGGACCCACCAGGACCAGGACCCTGCAGGACCAGGACCAGGAACAACATATTGGCAAGAGGACTTGAAACTCTTGATTTTTCGAAAACAAGAGTTTCAAGAGAAACTAGCAGACCCTCTATCGATGATCGCTTAACGACATCGATAGAATGTGCGAGGTAAAGGGAATCAACCCGGCGTTCCCAGAGACTGAAACACATGAGGAGACGTTGTAGCAGACCGCAGGTCACGCACAACACATGGCCTACCGAGACGCTGATGAGTCGGGTCACGCGGAGGTTTAGGGTTTAGTGGGTATTAGGTGATCTCTTCAAGACCCTGGAGCCCCACACACGTCGTAGCTCGTGCTATGGTATGGTGCGTAAATGCATTCCCCCCTCGTTAAAAAAAAAAAAAAAAATCGTCAATAGTTATAAGGACAAATGTTCGGAGAAATCTTTCAATTGTGCAAAGCGTACCGAGAGGTGGACGAGTATAATATTACAGGGGCTGGAAGCGTATCAATATAGCATCCATGTGTGAACCGAATATTACTCATAAACAAATAAATTTTGGGTAAATCTATTTATCGCATGTTAACATGACATTTGGCAATTATACAGGGTGTCCCAATTTTGACCTACATATCAAAGTTGTGATTTTTTAAATGGAATGCCACAAATTTTATTTCATATTTAGATAAGCTAATTGAGAAGAAGAAGATTGATATAACATACTATGGGGTTTTGGTAATTAGCTACTAAGATGTAAGGTGTTTTGTCCAGAAAAACCGTCCACTTCGGCAACCACTCAATACGCCATTTTGAAATTTGGAGTGCTAAATGTTATATTACGAGAAATCTCAGCTTTTATCGTTTTCGCGACTTTTTCGAATTTTCATTATTGTTCATACAGGGTGGTCAAAAACGCGAATTGTACTTTTTCTCAAAAATTTCAAATACATCATCCTGTATATTTGTGCAAGTTTGGATACAATTGTTTATAAACTTTTTTTGGTATCAGGTTTGATTCAGATTAAATCACTAGCTTTTGAGTTATTAAGCTTTTAATAGAACAACACACCAAAATTAAGAAAAAAAATCTCATCATCCATGGAATCAAAAGACAAACAGTGGGCTAAGTTCCATATTGCCACCAAGAGTACAGATTTGATGCGAAAACTAATAACAGTCAGAAGAGTATAAATCAGCTTCAAGCGTAATAGATAAAAATAACTATAACAACAACATAAACAAACAACTATCACTAATCAAGACCTAATCTACAAAAACTGCTCGAAAATATCTCCACCATGTTGAATACACAGCGGTAGTCTTTGGATAAATGTCCGTTGCACATCCCTTATGTTCAGAAAAGCATCCTTAATCCTTTCCTGCATATTCTCTGTTCTCTGGCGTAGATGGTGGATATCTATAAACCTCTTGCTTAGTGTAGACCCCTGGAAGGAAGTTCATCGGTGTCATATCTGGTGATCTAGGAGGCCAAGATATAGGTCCATCACGACCGATCCAACGATTGTTACTCCAAATAGTTACGTACACGATTATGATAATGCGCAGGTGCGCCGTCATGTACATATGGACTCGAGTTTGCAGGTTGACAACTTCCAAAACCAAAGGCAAATAAATGCTCGATCAAAAAATTCAAGTATTCTGTACCTGTTAATCTGTTGTCGAAAAAGAAAGGCCCGATAACTTGTCTGCCAATAACTCCTCCCCAAACATTCAGGCACTTGATTCAAAACGTTCTCGTAGGGTGGTAAATGTTTCCGAGCTTGGATGTCGCATATTAGGGTAGCGTTGCTTATAAATGCGAGATGCTAGGAAACCATTTCTTTGGGCCTCGCCCATATTCACCATTTCTTCTTTAGAAAAATTCATTTTCAAACACGTTTTCATTATAATGCTTACAAAGCTAATTTTGAAAGTTTGTAACTAATCAACAGTTTATTATTTGTTTCCAAGGATGGTGCGACATTTAGACGTGCTAATAACCGAGAAAATAGCCGTTAAAACCTTTATGTGTCTAGTATTAAAAGAGAGATAAAAAATTGAATCCAAACTTGCACAAATATACAGGGTGGTGCATTTGAAATTTGAAAAACTTAAATTTGCGTTTTGAGCACCCTGTATGAGCAAAAATTAAAATTCTAAATAGTAACAAATAAGGGGTGTGTAAGTTTGCGTAAGTTTTTTTCTTTATACAAAATTCAGCATTCCAAATTTGAGAATGACGGACTGAGAGGTTGCCGAAGTGAGGGGTTTTTCTGGATAAAACGCCTTATAGCACAGTAGCTAAGTACCAAAACCCCATAGTATATTGTATAAATTTTCTTCTTTTGAATTGGTTAATCCAAATATGTAATAAGATTTGAGGCATTCCATTTGAAAAATCACAACTTTGATATGTAGGTAAAAATTGGGACACCCTGAATAATATTCAATATTTTAGAAATGCGCCCTCAAATGTCGTGTAATATCCCAAAAGTAGATTTCCCCAAAATGTATTTGTTAGGCAGATAAGAGACATGCGTTTTTCGTTATATACATGTCATATAACATCCAAATCATTGATTCCCAAAGTGGTCTATAACGACCCCTAGGGGTCTATGACAACGTGCAAGGGGTCTACGTCGAAAAAAAATTTGGGGGTCCATGAAATGAATATGGGGGTCCACGATAGTGGATCTCAACACATACATTGATAGTACCTATTTACTTACATATATATACATTATTTATAAAAGTACCTATGAAGTAAAAAATTTATTATATGTATATGTTTATAAAATTGTGTAAGTTGTAGGATGTTGGTATTCGCTTTGTGGTCGCAATACATTTTGAACTTGTAAAAACCTGAGAGTCGCAGTCTCAGAGCTTCGCTACCTTGCACTGACTTGTTCAATTCGTCACTCTAAAAATACGAATGTGGGACAAATACGTTTATTCGTTTCCTGAATCTTGAAAACGAAAGTGCTAAGAAAATATTTTAAAAAATATAAACAGATAGTATATCACACAAATTATAATGAGTCAGCGTTATTTTGTTTAAGAGTGCTGGAGAAAAGTAAGTACATTATTTTTTATTAAATTTTAGTTTTGTACTCGTAATTAGCAAAGATAGACAAATTACGCCAATCATGACTTTAGTTATTAGTAGTTAAATATTCAATCAAGCAAAATTACATGAGTTCTCCTCAATAGTTTATTTTTGAAAGTTTTAGCAATCGGTAATATAATTACAGTGCAATCTCCGTAATTCGAGCTAATTGTTGCAAGAAGATGTTCGAATTATGGAATGTTTTCGGAAAAATCAAAAAATATTTTTAATATTCAGCTGCTCGATTTTCTGTCTTATTTAAATAATTTAATTTTGCCCACAGATGATTGATGCCATGTCCGAATCTAAAACGAAATGTAGACAGTACAGTGTTGATTATATGAAATTTGGCTTCATTACATCATTGCCGGACAAACAATCGCCTATGTGCCCTTTATGCAACAAAGTTTTGGGCAATGACGCTATGAAACCATCTAAACTGCAAGATCATCTGAGATGATGCCACCCTGATAAAACAGAGAAAGATTTGAAATACTTTCAAACACTCAAAGATAAATTTCAGAAGAGACCTACCTATACTGGACAGAATGTTCGCTTCGACGTCACAAAGAAATGATGATGGTTTGCGGGCGTCTTACAATATCTCGTTACTGATAGCAAAATCCAGAAAACCGCATACTATCGGAGAGAAGTTAATTTTGCCAGCCGTTGAAGAGGTTTTAAAAACTGTTTTACACAAACCTGCATCTGATATCATTAAAAGAATTCCCTTAAGCAACAATACTGTTGAAAGACGTATTGATGAAATGGGTTCTGATATTGAAAGCTTCTTATGTAATTATTTGCAAACGACCCATTTCTCTATACAACTGGACGAGTCAACTTTACCTGATAATGCAGCATTATTATTGGTATATGTTCGTTTTATTATGAATCAAGAAATCTACGAAGAACTGCTCTTCGCAAGAAGTTTGATAACCGACACTAAAGGCGAATCAATATTTCATGTTTTGAAGGATTACTTCATTGAAAAAGCAATTCCTTTATCAAATATATCAGTAGCTACAGATGGAGCACCTGCCATGGTTGGACGTTATCATGGATTTATAAGCTATTTAAAACAAAATGTGTCATGGGTGTTAGCAATACATTGCAATAGATTGCATGAATCACTTCATTTAGTCATTGATGCAGTAAACCGAATCCGAAGCAACGCGTTGAATACGCGGTTATTTGTGTGAAGAAAATGACGAACACTTTCATCAATTACTCCTTCACACTGAAGTACGCTGGCTGTCGAAAGGCTTATGTTTGACAAGGTTTTTGCACTTTTTGAGACTATTTCAGAATTTCTGGATACTAAAGATAAAATTTTAAATGAAAATTTAATGAAGAGGAAAACAGACATCGCCTATTTAACAGATTTGTTTACAAAATTTAATATGGTTAATTTTCAATTACAAGGCGACAGTTTAACTTTTATGAAAACAAAGTCCGTCTTATCAGCGTTTCTTGCAAGAGTTAAACTAATGAAGCCAAATTTTTGGCCGGTCGAATTTTCTCAGTTCCCCAATTTGTCACAGACAAGCTGCCAGGAAGACGACGTTTCAACTTACGTTCAACATTTAAATACCTTCTATTCAGATTTTGAATCTAGGTTTGAGGATATTTTGACTATGGTGATACCGCCGTGGATAGTTAATCCATATGGTGACATAGGAGAAACGAATGTCATAATACAAGAGTAACTGACTGAACTAAGTACAAACGAAGAACTTAAGGTTAAGTTTAAAAACGGATATCAGCAATTCTGGCTGCAAAACAACATACCCGTTACTTATCCCGTATTATGGAATATAGCGAGGAAATTTTTAATTCCCTTTCCATCGTCATACCTAGCGGAAAGGGGGTTCAGCACTGTTACCAATCTCCTAACGAAAAAAAGAAACAGACTGGACATCATTAGCCGAGGAGATTTAAGATTAACCCTTACAAAATTGACGCCAAATGTTGATAATTTATTATTAAAGCATCAGGTTCATCCTTCTCACTAAAAATATTGACTTATTGCTTATGTTATTTTATTTATAGTTTATTTTATGTTTATTGGTGTCTGACCAATAAATGCCCGCATTGGGAATAAGTGCCCGCATTGATTTTTTTAAAGAACCCCTCTTTATAGAAAATATTTTTTTTTAAATTATTCTGAAAATTCAAGGATAGGTACACACTAAAATTCGTTAATTTTTTGCCTATTTTCAGATAACTTAAACGTATAAGAAGGGGAATTTAAACAAACTAACAGTGAAATTATTGTAGAACATACGTTTATGTTATAATTAATAAACGAATTCGCTTATTGTACTATTTTAAGTAAAACGCTTTTTTTAATTAATTTTCACTTTTTCTTATTTTATCCCTCTTATTTTTTTTCAATGCGGGCACTCATTCCCAATGCTGGCACTTATTGGTCAGACACGTGTTTATTTAATGTTACGTATGTTTTACATAACAGATACAAAATTTTATTTTGAGTTGTTTTAATTTAAATTCAATTAATAAATGTATAAATTAACATGTGTTTTTACTTACAAAACTTCACTACAGTTAGAAATTTACAGGAAATCAATATCAGGTAAGTAGGGGGTCTACCCAACACGGAAAAACATGGCAAGGGGTCTACGACTCAAAAAAGTTTGGGGAACTCTGATCCAAATACATATCTGGGTTTCGAATTTTTTCCGGCTACAACAGTTCCTCGCGAGTAAGCGTGAAAAGCGAAAGGTCCGTTCTAGCTTTCGTGTATTGTGTGCTTCTGCCTTTTCATTGTATCGAAAATCATAGGATTTATTTAAGGTATTCCCAACACCGCGCAACCCTTAGGGCGAAAACACAGTGGAAGTCGGTTTCCTGCTTACCGGCAACCAGCGCCGATAGGCGCCTATGAGCTTCTATAGCATGCTCTCGAGTTGGCAATAACACAATAGAGGCTGGATCAGGCTTGTTGACGCTGGCAGTCGGCATTACCAGTTTTGCAGGAACGATTACATGGTCCTTTCTCGCCGGTTGTCACAGCAGGTTAATGTGGATAATCGATATAGACAAGTTAATCTCATCAGTATATAAACAATGCCCGATATGGGTTACAAAAATAAACACCACAGTAACAGAAATGTAGTTTACAAATGTTGGAAGGAAATACTAAAAAAAAGCTGTCGGGGCATCTTTGAACGCCTTGAACCAATGAGGATAATTACCACGATTTGTAGGGTGAATACCAACTTTCTTTCTAGTGTCTATTTTAGTTATAGAGCTGTCCAATGCAATAAATTCATCTTCAGATGGGCTAGACCCCATGTTAGCGTGAAGACTACGCTGGAACTGACAAGAAGCAGGTTTTATTCGCTTTTTTTCTCGTCAGCACTGTGTCAATGACCAGCGCCGAAATTCGGTACCGATGGGCGCAGGAAACCAGCTCCCACTGTGTTTTCGCCCTTAGCTGAGAACGGTCGGCGTGCCATCCACATCGACGACGCTGAGAAGATTCGAGAAGTTTCCAGAAATTCCAGATTTATAAATAAGGGTGGCGCGTGCGGCGTGCCCCCATCATCAATTCAACAATTGTCCAAACATGCATTGTTCAGTAATTGTAAAATGGTGTTTCAGAGTGTTGTCTAAAGTACCAGGCACAAAACATGTGGGATTTGACCACCTGTTAAATTTAATGAGAACTATGCTGATCAATCGTTTCAATGTGCGCAAAGCCCAGATGTTCTTTCTATTTGTGATACATGGTGTAAACGATTGGTACCTTAGCCCCTATGGGTACGCCTGCATGTACCAGTTGCAAGGGAATTTCTGCATTTCAGAGTAATCCACAAAAAAAAAACAAATTCCACAATACCGTTTTAATTTTTCCCTGACCTTATTTGAGTTGGGATATCAAAATTAATTAAACGTCGACATTTCCTCCCTTTCTCCTCCAAAAGGTCGCATAATTAGAATTTCGTTATGACGTTTCGTGTCTTATCTTCAATCATCAACTTTATGATCACCATATTGCACAAGTGAACATTTTTTTACTTTTAATCGAATTATTCTGTTGACAACTTGAATTTTATTATTATTTTATTTTGAGGTCATCAATTATGATTGATTGTTCGACCATGTATACTTTATCTGAAGTCACTTGAAATAGCATAAAAACCTTTGGTCGGCGCGTCCTTTGTAATTTCATGACGTATCATAGGCGTGCGGTCATTTATTTAGAACGATAATAATAATGTTTTTATATCACAATAAATGGATTTTACTATAATCTTATTTTTTTGATTTTGGAATAAAAAATACTTATATTGGGAGTTTAATTTATATTGACTGAAAGTTAAGAAATGGAAAAATTACAGAATTCCAACGTTTGATATATTTTTGGTATGGATATGGATTTGGTATATAAAAAGGTATATAAAGACTTACATTATAGGTATTTATATATCATCCTCGCCTTCGGAGCTGTCGCTAGAGTCATCTTGTAGAGGAATTACAACGGGATTTACAGGAGGCAAAACACAATATTCATTTTCTTTTTCAATAATATGTCTAGAACACTGCTTCCATAGGTCTGTGGCAGCAATATAAGATACTGCATCTCTTATTGTGGCCAATAGCGATTCACTTAATTGAGGGGTCTGATTATGTTTTCTTACTTTTTTTTTTAAAGCAGCCCAGACCAACTCAATCGGGTTAAAAATGCAGTAATAGGGAGGCAGACGTAATATCATGGCCATTTTGCTGAAGCAGATTGTCAACAACATACTCTTTTTCAAATTTTTGTCTTTTAATAAGATCCAATAATATGGCTTTGGTTGATTTTTCTGGTATTTCCATTCCCTTATCCTTCATAAAATCAATAATATCTTGTTTGTTTGTGCCTGTATTCGGAATGGTATGGCGCATTGTCCATAATAATCACTGAATTTGGGGAAATGTTTGGTATTAACTGCTGCTCTATCCACTTTTCAAATAAGTCGGTCATGTCCTCATGATAGTCGGCACATGATTCTTTGATATTTTTGGCAGATAACAGCAAGGCATTAGGTATAAATCCATTTTCACTGCCAGCACGGAGAATAATGATTCGTTTTCCACGGTTGCATGGTGCATTTAAAATGCACTTGTTGCTGTCGTCAACCCAGCCGTACTGCACAACATCATGGGTATCATACCGCGTTTCATCCAGGTAAATCAGATTTCTTTTCTGCTCTCTATGGATTTTAACTTTGTGCAAAAATTCTTGGCGCAATTCAACGATTCGAGACGACTCCATAATCACCATTCTTTTATCTAATTTTTTGTATTGAAAACCACACAGTTTTACAATACAGTGCAGTGAGTCTAAGCATTTGTAATTATAAAAATCTTCAGGATAATCTTTTAATTTATCCCGTATCATTTCCAACGTGGGCACCAAATTTTCTTTATAAAATCCGTATATTATACGACGAATATCTTCCTGAAAACCCACGTCTATTCTTTTTAATTTTTGCCCTATGCGCTTTCTGTGGAAGGAATGGTTGATTGACTACATCTCCCCTTTTTATAACCCGATAAATGGTAGACCGACTGATTTTTGTCAGGATACAAATTCTGTTTAAAATTTGTTTTTGCGAGGAATCTGGATTTTCGTTTTTCAGACAATCATACATACTTAGGATTACTCTTTGGGTCTGTTCCTCTAAATCTTTATGAAATAATTCTGCCTGCACAGGTTCATCAACCATCTCCTCGTGGCTTGGAGCATTTTCCCAAGGTCTCCACAGAGCCATATTAGGACACACAAGAACAATCAACACAACAATTACATCAACAAGTAAACTGAGTATTCAAAAGTCAAAAACACAAAAACTAATAAAATCTATGAAAAAACACGGACAGACTAAAGAAAACACGTTTATTCACTGCTACACGGCACTGGCTAAACTGTTTCAATTTACAGTAGCCACCTGCACTTGTTCGGAGCTCTGAAATACACGCTTTCTCATTGGCTATGTCCACGCATAGGCGTGCTTTACTCCACGTGGACTGGTGAAACTGCCTTTGATCTTATACGGGGGATATTTGCTGCGAAATTTGGCGATTTTTGCAGCAACAGAGCGTGTTAAATATAGATATATAAAACGCACCCGGTATTTCACAGTGTTTCAAGTGACTTCAGATAAAGTATACTACTGTAATATAAACTCTTTTGCAACTAAAAATTATTTTCTACCCTTTAGTTCGATTAGCTACAAAAACCGTGTTTCTCTAGTTTATTCGAACTATTATTTATTTTTCATTTTTTAGTTTATCAATCAGTTTCTTGCGAATCATTTCGTAATCTAATCATTTCATTTAAAGCTTCACTGTAGCATGGCGTTTTGTTGTTAACTTAGAGCAATCAAGTTCTTCAACCCGAATATCATATAAAGATCGTACACGACTCAGTGCAACATAAGCTTGTTCAGTAGTAAACAGTCGCGAGCCAAGATAAATGACTGCAAGAATAACTTTACAGACTTGTATCTTGTGGACGGTCGAAGCCCAACTCAGGATTAATGGCAACATTCGCAATGAACAAGGTGAGAATGACTACCTTGAAAAAGTATCTGCCTCCGCGTTGTGCTGTGCCGAGAGCCCGAACCAACAAAGAGTTAGTCCGAAACTGCACGCATGCGCAGAACGTGCGCCTATTACCCTATAGAAGATCTAT